GCCCTTTTCTTCCAAACCTCTATATCATATGCACGCGTTTTATCCTTCATATAATAACTGCGCTTTAGAAGTGTAATTTCGGACTGAATCCATTTGTGTTATTTGCTTAGTCGCACAATTTCTTGACGCTCGGATTCCCTATTAAAATAAATATGTATATTATATTTTTATTCTAATACTTTTCAGATCCTCTGTTTTCTGTGTAAAACTATTGTATCCAACGCTTTCGTGTGATGTTGATGGCCCATCAGCCATATTGCTTTTAAATGAAGAGTTCTCCTTGTATTCTTCCTCAAGTATATTAGAAGCATATCCCACTGCTTCGGGGAGATGTGCAACTTCTTCATCCTTTCCTTGTATGAAGTACTTGTTTCATGCCGCTGAAGTAGTTCAGCAACAATCATTTTATTTTCCCGGCGATGAGCTCGTTCGATACGTTCCGGATTCTTAATTTGTTTTTTGTAAATGGTTGGCACAACACCTCGTTTTAAAGCCCGTTTCTTTGCAAAGCCTTAGAAACAATAAAAAAATTTTGATTTTATAGCGATACGTACATACATAAAATTAATAAAACTTCTTACCCATTTGGTACTTAAGACTATTTTCAAAGTCCTCACTGGAAAAGTGATCCATGCACACGTAGCCGGTCTTTGGATTAAAATCTTTATCCTGCCGGCAGAATTTTATTCATTTTCTGGCAAGATTGGGATCAGCGGGAAAACGAAATAAACTACATTCTGATGCTTTGTTATTATTGGTTTTACCACAGCTTATTACGGCGCACTTCATTATTGATACTAATATATCGATGGCTGAGTGGAAGATCGACCTATCTCGGCAGCCAGTTCGAAAACGCCTTATTTCAGAAAATTTTTGAACAAAGCTCTATTTCAGAATTTAGTTGAAGAACGCCCTATCTCATAATTTTATTGAAGAACGCCCTATTTCAGAATTCGGTTCATAAACGCCCTATCCCAGCTGCCTCTTCAAAAACGCCCTTTCTCAGAATTCGATTGAACAACGCTCTATCTCAGAATTTAGTTGAACAAAGCCCTATCTGAGAATTTTATTTATAAACGCCCTATCTCAGCTGCCGTTCCGAAAACGCCCTGTCTCAGGATTTGATTGAACAACGCCCTATCTCAGAAAATGGCTCAATATCGACCTATCTGAGCTGCCGCTTTAAGAAAGCATTATCTTCAGTATGGTTTTTATTCTTGAAAAAATTGTGGTACAGTGAAAATAATTGCTGTGAAAGCATTTCGTTTTCACATTAACTATTGAGAGTGACCAGCGGGGCAAACACCTCAATCGACCAGCCCGAATACCGTCGACTGTTAGACGCATGGTCAACGAGCACATCGAATCTTATCCGACAATAGATTCGCATTATTGTCGGAAAATGACCAATAAGCGCTAATTAAGTGAAAGTTTATGTTTAAAAAAAATGTACGAAATGTACAAAGAACATGAACATCTGTACAGAGAAATTTTCAACACACAGTACAATATAGAATTTCACAAACCAAAAAAGGATCTTTGAGATGAGTGCACAGCATATGACCAGATGTCAGAAATAGATAAAATGTCCTGTGCTAAAAAGCATGATGAGCATATTTCAAATAAAATAAAAGCTCGAGAGATGATGGCAAAAGATAAAGAGCAAGCAAAAGAAGATTCAACTATTTGCACAGCTTGCTTTGACATGGAACAAACATTGACAACCCCTAGAACTAACTGCCATACCTAAACAAGAGCGTCAGCGTTGTCTGGCTGTCAATAATTCTCATGCCTATACAATTTGTATGAAGCATACCGAAACAACGCGGCGTCAACGCTGAGCGGTTGGAAATTCCGATTTTGACAGGGCGTTAGGTATTAAAGTTGGCTGCAGAAAAC